TATTCCATACTCTTTTTATTTTTATTTTTCAAAGCTTTTTCATTTTTTTCTCTTTTTTTTTTCTTACTCTTTCTCTTTTTTTCTTTCTTTTCGTTTTCTTTTCTTTTTCACAACCGCATAACAATCACAACATAAATAAGCAAATAATTCTTTCCCCAACTTGAATTCAACCATAATTACAATGAATACTCCCTACTTTCTAAGGAAAGCCAAAAATTCAAACTAAAAATCATAGTTGAGGGTTCAAGAAAACAAATAATCAATCTCTATTCAGAAAGGAAAACCAAACACTCATAGACAAGCATTAAGTTCAAAAATAACATGGACATTGACAAAAAGGCTCAAAAGGGGTTAACAAAAGTTCACATACTCACAACGTAAATTGACTATTTGGTTAGGTAGTTGTGCTCAAAATCAAACAAAATGCCTTGATTACTTTCATGCTTCCATACAATCAACACAAACAAAAGACTAAACATAATGAAATCTAGTTAAAACAAGAATTATTGGTCTTCAGCATATATGAACAATGGAAAGCTTCCTCACATTTGGAGATAAAAAGGGAACTAAAGTGATTCAATCAAAAGCAAGTAATGTAAAAAGAATGAACGGTATAGTATTATACAAATGAAAAATTTTCTCAACATGTTATGTTGTAGAAAAATGATACTATTGTTATTTACTAATACAAATCCTTGGTGAAAGTGGGAAAAAGGAGGGCCAAGTGAACACTAAAAAAACTTCACTGGCTCAAAACAGCGGAGTGCACTAAGCGAGCTCTATCTCATTAAGCGTGCTAAATCAGAACCAGAAAAACAGGACAGCAACAACAGTTCTAATATAACCTCCACAATCACCTACACTATCTCAACTACACAACTAAGCAGAATTTACAATACATACACACTTCCTCAAGCTAATAAAATCAAGCTTTTTGGAAAAACCAGATGAAAATGAATAAACAAGTTGAAAAGTGAAGATTTGAGATTTTAGAACATGTCCAATTTCAACTTGTTTAAACAACAATTAGAACACTACCTAAATTAACAAAATGAAAAACAATAAAACATGTTTGCTTTACGTTGTAAGCTCGACGCATGTTATTTACAATCATTCCACTTTGCTTTGGATGAGTCAAATGATTTCACTCCAGCTTTTGCTATCATCTATTCAAGTTCTAACTGGAACTATACAACTAACCACACTTTTGGCAAACGTGAAACAAAACAAGTATACTCTATACAAGTATCAATATAAACAAGTTTATATTTACACATTATAGACATTATGTACACAACTTAAAAACAAAGAAACGATCGCAATAATGCGATCCAATAAAAACACTAATCCCCGACTACGGTGCCATTTTACTGAAGCTGTAAAACGACAAGCAAAAGTAATTATTTAAGGTGATATATGTTATATCGTATCGTCTCCACAAAGATTAGTGCTACTGAATTATCGTTCGAAAAATCTCTCGTTAATGAGTTTGGGTTTGAACGGGTTGGTTGTAAGGAAAGGTAAAAGTATTAACTGGAAAAGAATTCATTCATTGGAGAAGAGACTTATCAAGCATGCATAAAATCCACTCTTCACAAACTTAAACCTATCGATCAGTTGTACTCAACCTACAAGACTCATCAATTTCATCACGTATCAAACACAAAACCCATTGTATCACCTCGACGGTGATCTCTCAACCAACCTTAACAACACGGAAATCAACCTTGTTACTCGCGTCGACGATCTCTTAGCACGACACAACCAACACAAAGACATTAATCAGAGACATCTAAGTGAATAATAGCCATAAATTTATCTCTAAAATCTAGACACTATTAGATAATCATCCTAGATAAGAATTCGAGCAGTATATGTGTATAACAATCCAAACCCTAAGCACATAGAAAACGTCCAGGATAACAATCGACAAAGATTTGTAAAGCAAGCTTTATACCAACGCCATGGGCGACAAATATACACGAGTTCAAAGTAAATATATATATATATATACATAATCCAACAAATAGAGAATACACAAAGAAGAAGAGAAATGAACCACAAATCTCCCAATTTTTCAATATCGATCGATGAGCTATTCAACCTGGATCATCCATATGCAAGCTCCATAGTTGTTTTCTAAGTTAATCTACCAAAAAATGAGTAGATAGAGTTGGGAGAACAAAAACACCCATAAAACCATAACTTAACAAATGAATGAAACGAAGTTATAAAACAAATTTCACCAGACCGCGCTAAGTGAGACTGGCGCGCTAATCGCGACTTCTTTATTTTACACATCAAACCGCCTAAAATTGCACTAAGCGGGCTCACAAACTTCGCTTCTGCCAGATCTGTCAAAACACTCATAGCGCGCTACGATTTGCGCTTAGCGCATCCGCCTGAACAGAACTTCTCAAAAATGGACTTTTATTGCGAAAACGTGCATTTGGAGCAGTGCATTCGACACTTTATTCCTCGATGCTCCAAAAATACAACAAATACCTACAAAAGAAGTAAAATCTATCAAACGGAACACAAATAAATCAAATACACAAATATACACAAACTAAAGGTATTTACATAAAAGTCGAGTTTATTTAACCGATATAACAACAAAAAGTCGATGAGTGCAAAAAAAAATACAAAATAAATACAATTTGCACTTATCAGCGGTGTGCATGGTTATGGATGATTTGGAGGAGGTGAAAGGGGTAAAAAAACATCCAGGAGGTGTGATGGAGTACAGGAGAAGGCTCGATGCACTGACCGTAGAGAATGTCGTCTGAAAACCATATACATTTCATCGTCCTCATCGTACATTTGAGGAGTCTACTTTGTATTCAGGGCATATTAGATGGGAGAAACATGTGGCTAGACTTGCCTGAGAGGTGTCTACGCCAGTATGGTTATGTACAAGGCATCCCTCGTCCAGTTCCAGAGACTCCAACTGATAGCATTGATAGATGGTTTCAGAGTCGCATCATCAACTCTCCATGTGAGATCATGGATACATCAGTTGTGATTCAGCATCCATCACAGTGCAAGGATGGATACCTAGAGTGATTTGACAGTGTGTCACATCCCCGGGTCATACCATCGGCTGCAACATTTGATGTTTCGAGGCCTTCACGTGTCAGAGTTTCTACCGAGCCTCCACCATCACCTCCACCTCCCGCAGGTCATCAAGACCGTCACCTACAGTTTATTACAGTTCATTTAGATAACCTCATGGGTTTGGTAAACCCTAATGGTGAGATCTATACAGGATTAGCTAGGTTAGCCGACGTAACCCGTGGAGGACCTATGTAGATCTGTTTCATTTTAATTGTATTATATGTATATTTTGTGACACACAGACTTTTTATTTATTACATAATATTTTGACGATTACATATTTCGAATCGATGATGAACATAACATAAAACAGTACAACAAACATAAACCAAAAACAACTAAACATGAAAATATAGGCACTACCAGATGATTCTGGACGTTTCAGCATCTTGATTATATCGTCGACGGATCTTTGGATCTCTGCATCCAACTCGATCAGACCTTTAGTTATCCTACGGCGAAGTGATTTCCACATGGCCTTCACATCTTCATCATTCTTCAACTCGGACAGGTTTTATTTCGCCATTCCAATCCAGTCCTCCTGAAACTCTATCTTTGTCACCCTTTTGGTATCAGAATCAGGCAGCAAGTCATTCAATATTTCTTTCAAGGTGACAAGGGATGCAGAGCCATCTGAAATCTTGAATTCATTAGCAGGATTGCTTCCGTTGTAATATACTTTTGCCTTAATCAGAAATTGATGAAGATGCATTGTTTGAGATATTTTTCTATATAACATATGCCCTTATTTATACAAATGGGGATACATTCTAAACCACACAAATTTGTCGGTGCAATCGGGACCCTCCAAAGATATCGGCAAAATCTCGACCATTAAAAAAACTTGAATAAATGAACTATCGAAAATTTCAATATAACTCAAATTTCCGATACTACCTAATAAATTTAAAATTTCCAGAATACCAGAAATTTCAAATACATTACCGATAATTTTCATACACCAAAAATTTTGTTGAGGTATACCAAAATTTTCGTTTGTACCAAAAATTTCAATAACTACTAGAAATTCCGTCCGAAAATTTATTTATAACTCAACAAGAGTAATTATGGAATAAAAATAATTAGATAATTGGAGGGTGACATATATAATTTGAGGGATGGATGTTAATTCCTCCATTATTAATTGGTGAAGTATTTTCAAGAATAGTATTTAGATTTATTTTTTTGTGTTCCCACAAAGTAATACAAAATTTCAGTAGATCCAAATTTACTCATAAAATTGAGGTGTAGCTTAAAAATCAAATAGATACTTTTGAAATTTCATAAGATAATTTTCCACCACTTAGGTGGAGATTAGAAATTTCCCTATAATTATGATAATGTACTAAAATAGATATTAATCCATTTCCAGCAATATGAACAGCCCTTTAAACACAATCCAATTATCAATCAATAAGTTTTATGTCAAAACCAACAACAAACAAATTGTACGCTACTAGAACAGTCATGATTTTACAACTACCAGAACAGAGATCACACAGACAAAATAAGAGCCTAAAAAAATTCAACTGTTATAGAAAAGAAAATTGTTTCAACTACTAAGTATATGTTTATATTTGCATTGAGAAATTGTAGTTTGCGAGTTAAGTCTGAGGCTCAGATTTGTTGCTCAAGAGAAATCAATAGAAATGTAATGCGGACGCAGTTCTAAATATAGCATGCATATATGGAAAAGTGGAAACGAAAAATATACGCGACAGAGGCCTGTACTAGTGCATTTGAAACGAGGTTTATTCCCCAACCTTACCAACAAAACAAAAAGCAATGGGGAAACAAAAAATTCTATATGTTACAACTGTCCAACATCAACAACCAAGAATTTTACTATGAACTGCTTCAGAACAGTTTAAAAAACTATGAATCTACAAAAGCCAATTGATGGTAATGTTGCCAAGCCAAGTGAACAATGGGAACTGAACCAAAGCAATAAAGAGCAAGAGATAGTGATGTTTGCTAGAGTCGTAACTTCTGACCTCTGCGAAAAGGACTCGCTTCATTGTTTTTACTAAGAACACTCCCATGCATAAACAGGTCCATGGCATTAAAAAGTAGTAGGAGTAGCCGGATATTATTCTTCCAAGAACAGCCAAACAGATGCCGGTGAAAGTATATCCAGCATATGCTATGATGTCGAGCAAGGGAGCTTCGCCGCTTCCCAATGAAAGTAACGTCACCTTAAGCAGTGCAGCTTGCATAAACCAACCAAGCAATCCCTTGATGAATAACAAGTTCAATGCTTCTGGACTAAACCTGGACATAAATACAGCATCAGTAAGAAACCACAGCAATACAAACTACATAAACAGCTTAGTTAAGTGATTTTAGCATAAGTAATTATCATATAAGTGTTTATGTATAAATTACTTCTATAACAAAAGATAAAATAAAGTCAAATGTTTATGTTGGTAGATAAATAAGCTCAAATGAGTTAATCCAAACAGGTAAAAAATGAGTTTTATGAAGTAAAAGATCAATCCAAACAAGTAATAAATGAGTTTTATGAAGTAAAAGATCAATCCAATTGTTAAGGTTGAGGAAGAGGAATCGTACTTTCCATGAAGACCCAATGAGAGGCCAGCAAGAACAACGTAGGTTCCAAATGCCATTAATGGAATGTAAAGGTCTGGTGCATTAATGTCATATATCGGTGGTTTATAGGAGAGCCTACCACCGACTGGTTCAGTGATTCTAGTCCAATGACCCTGAGCCATAAAACAAACGAAATAAGAGCAGCTTGAAGATGAAATAAAATAATCGAACGGAAATTTGAGAGAAATGCAAAGAGTTTGAAGTTGTTGCTCACCCTGTGCAGAAACGGAAACAAAACCACCTTCAATTTGTTCTTAACATAATGATCATTGACTTGAAAGTAGTATTGGGGATCAGAGAAATAACGACTTATCTGTAATTCAACACAGAAGATTCATTTAACAACAAAAACCTTGAGTTTATACCTAATTTTTACTTGATCTAAGTTTAAGATACAAAATCAAGGTACATTAAGCTTTTAATGTATGTTTCAGCTACATTTGTTTGAACTTGAGCCTAAGTTGAATGATATGCAACTAATCATTATCATCATTTCCAATGTGTAGGCAAACGCCATATATGAATTAGAGTTAAACAAGTAAAACTGTGGAATGTTAATTATTCGGATGAAATCCCCGTGTATCCTCCAAAGTCCTAATGGAAGCAATCAAAATCAAGATTGACACAGAAACAACGTGATGGGACCTCTTCTTTAGAGATTTATTTTTCCCAAGGAACCAGAGACCTCTGTAAAGTGTGCCCCTGTACGTATTCTCTCACTTGCATACCTAGAATGGTTCCACTTGGTCATCTACATTTTGTCTCATGGAGTGCTTTAACTTTTACCTTCCATTTAACCATGTGCTTTCAAAAGAGTATATTAATTCAAGTAATTTATGTATCATTGGACATCAATTTGCCCAACACTCCAACATCTTTGGAGAACCAACTTGATGTCCAATTTGAGTATTCACCCGAAATAACAATTTCAATTTAACATAATATGAATACGTAACCTTACAAACGACAAGGGAAATTAAATTACTAGAGGCAGAAAAAATCCAACAAGTTCTTACATTGCTTTGGACATACTCAGAGCTAGATCCTAATATTTTTCCTCCATATGCACCCAATCCACCTCGAATAAGTCCTGAACCAGCAACTTGAAATGCACTTCCAAAAGGATTTGGTTGCGTGTTTGGCGGAGGTTGCACCCCAGGCTGGGATCCAATATTATTATACATTCTTACTGCCACACAAAAGAACTAATCAGAAACAAGTTCAAAGGAAAAAAAAAGCAACATCCACTTGAATCACAAATCAGCCTTTCATCATAAGGTATAGAAACCAACAATTTCAACAAACCATTACTAATAACAAAACTAGGTTTCAAGAAAGAACACGATAGACAACATGAAAATCCAATTTTGTTAATTTATCAATAATTCGAACACAACAAGATTAAAAAAATCCAATTTTTTCTACAAAAACAAAGCAATGAAAATTAGGGTTGCATTAAAATCTGAAAACGACCCGGTAAGCAATATCCAGATAGAGAAAAAGGGGGAAAATCGATCACGGATCGAGGGAGAGCAATGAGAGGCAAAATCGATTGGAATGCGTGAAGAGAAGAACGAACCTGAAAAGAAGATTGAGAAGAGGAATGATGAATGTGATGGCGGTGGAAACAGAAAGTGTGGTTTCCGGCAAAATGGAAGTGTGCAAGATCTGAGAACTCGGAACAAGTCTGGAAGCCAAAAATCAAAATGCTTCTCTTCCTTTATTTAATATTTATTTTATGCAAAAGTGTTAGTTATTAAATTTTAATTTTTTTTAATTTTCTAAATTAAAATTAAATAAATTATTTTTTATTAAAAAATAAGTGTGCTAAATAGGACATTTATATGAAAATATATAAATTCAATTTGTCCATAATAAATACTACATCCGAAGTCAATTTGTCCATAATAAATATTTTATCAGTCTTAATATAAATGTCATGTTTATCAAAATTATTTGTCTCAAATTACGTATCATTTTTAATTACAATGCAATTTTATTTTTAACTTTTCAAGGGTATATTTTACTTAATATTTTTAATTTGCTATTATTTTCTCAATATTAATATTAGTTTGAATTCACTAATAGTTGATAAGCACAACCTCGTAAAATTATTATTTTCTCTCTTACGTTTATTATATTTTTTTAGTTTGTGTGAAAATGTCAACTATAACACTTATTTTGTGATGGGGTAATATTTTTATATTTGTATTTTCTACACTTATGCTTAAAAACGAGTAGGATATTTGTGTGCATGTATGAACCTATTTATTTGATACATTATATGTTTCATTGAAGAGCTAAAAATGGAGAAGATTGTGGAAACTACGGTAGAGCGAAGCTTCCTATGTGATTCAGTGATGCGGCACTTTGGATCGGAGGTTGCAATCGTGATGCCTCTTGAATCAAAGATGTAGATCTTGAATCGACGTTGCTAATCTCTAGTACGATGGACCAAATGAGATATCTACATGGTTAGCACTTCAACGCCCAAGTCGGTTTATTGTCCAAGATAATCATAGTGAGTGTGTAGATTAGAGATTGTGTTTCTGAAAACCCTTTGTGAATGTGTTTATACCTTGGGCTCAATGGGACAGGAAAAATAAGTGGGCTTTATCTTATTGAATCTTTGGTTGTCACAAAACAGTTTCCCCAAGACGATCTCCTCGGGTACTCTAGATTTTGGGGGAGCCTTTTACCATTCATGGTCGGTCTTGGGGGGAGATTATTTTATGATGGATGTTAAGCTTAATCGATGGGTGTTAAAATTATTTTATGGTAGGTGTTAAGATTATTTTATGATGGGTGTTAAGCTTAAGGGATAATGAAGATCCTTTAGCCCTTTTTCTCTTTTATGATGTTAAAAGGCCGACCATGAATGGTAAAAGGTTTATTCTTAAACAAGTCCTTTAAGAATAAACCTTATATCATACAAAAATAAAAAAAAATTACTACATATTAGACTTAATAAACATCTTATCCCACTAAGTTTAGTAGGAGAAATACTAGTTATAATTACGATGAAACATTCTGCCCAGTGCATGTACTAATTCCTATTGTTTGATTAAACTATACCGATTGAGATCTTAAGTCCTAAAATAAAAAGCATAGTCTTAATATGGACTATGTTAGCTTTCTGAAACATATTCACTTGATTGATTTTGACTTCATTTGATATTTTAAGTAATTATTTGAATCTGAGGTATGACTAATAGGAACCATGATTTTAGGGTTGTTTTGATAAGATGTTATGTGAATTAAGTTGTTAATGTTTTAGGACACAAGTCTCTGGATGTAAATGGATATCTATAGGGACAGATAGTATGATATATGTGTCTTCCCCGTTGGATAAATATGATATTCATATCTGCCACATCCATGCAGATATCTGCTAAACGGGTAATTCACAGGTTTTAAAGTATCCACAGATATTTAGAGATATCCATGGATAACACTATTTTTTTTTAAAATTACGTATTGAAAAAAATATTTTTAGTTTATTTTAAAGACAGAAAACGTTATTATCACGTAACAATAAGATTTGTATGGAATATAAAAGTTTTCTTTAAAAAAAACTTCAAAACAAAATATATGAGGAGACTAGTTTTTTAGTTTTTTTAGAAGATGAAAAGATAGAGTATAATAAAATAATAATATTTAAGTAATTTTTATAATTTATTAACGGATATGGATATCCACGGGCACGAGTAACATTAAACTTGTATCCATATTCCATTAATAAACGGATATTTAAATATCCATTTATTTTATTCGTGGATATCTATTAAACTATATGCCCCGTATCCATGACAGATTTCATCCGCAGATATCCGCGGGTACGGATATTTTTGCCATCCCTACACAATTCCAATGCTTGATAATACGTATACGAGTTAAGTTGTTAAGGTTAGAACGCAATTGATGATGTGATTTATGATTAGGTTCGAGAGAACCAGTGTTGAGATGTTTAGGTTCAGGGGAACTAGTGATGTGGCCTTACACAGACAATTATTTGAAGATAATGTGCTTAGGTTCGAAAAGGTAATTGTACACATAAGTATTATCACGAAAAGGTTTAGTCAAATTACATATCATTTTCGTGACTTTGGTAGCAGAGATTTGTTGTTAGATACCGCTCATTGTTTATTATGTTAAATGTGTGAGTTAATATAATTGCCAATATTGCGAAAACCTACAGAGTCACACACATAAGGATAGGTTTATGAGAGATAGAGTAAATATGGAACACCGTAAGGTACGATGAACTTAAGTGAATTATAGAACACCATAAAGTACGATACGCTTAAGTGGAATACGGAATATGGTAAGGTACCACGCGCTTAAGTGATGGTCGTAGGCTTAATTGGGCTTTTAGCTTGCATTTCACACAAGTGGTTCTATAAATAGAACCCTTGTGCTGAAGCAATAACAGTTGATGGAAATTCAGTCTTAAAACTCCAATCGTATTTTCTCTCACTCAAAGTTTTCGTTCGTAAGTATCTAGCACTGTAAGCGGAAGAGATCTATTCGTGTGGACTAAGTAGAAGTGTTGTTCTTCATCAACGCTCATGATCACAACAACAAAGTTTTGAATCGCCACAAGAGGTAATAGTTTATACCACTGACCATGCCCATTCGTAAGGATCACTAAAGGAAAATTTTAATTTCTGCTACATATTGTATCACGATTTTCCTTCAGTGGTGTCAGAGCTACTTATGAAACCGTGGATCTGATAGTTTTTTATTTTGTCTTTTATTTTTTGATTCGATTAAAACACAAAATGAATTGAATAATAAACGAGCAATTAAATTTTGGCATATGTTGTGTATGATTTGGATGATAGATGTTGACTATGCTTCGAAATCTGACGTTAGTATGGTGAAGCAGTGATACATCGAACATCCCTGGATTACACAAATAAGATCGATCACTTTATATATGATATAAGTAATTCTGATGCAAAGATAGTATATAGGATATAATGTTTCTGTTTCGTTCATTCAAACACCTAATAATTGTTATTCCTTTGAGCGATCATTGTTCATTTGTTTCAGAATTTGAAATTAGTATGGTAAAGCAATGACATGTTGATCAATCATATTGAATCATCAATCGAGGTGTGTTTGATAGTACAAAATTGTTGCATTAGGGTTCATGATGGCACAAGGGTTATGTTTTCGCAGAGTTATGCGTTTAGGTTATGAATGCATAATACTTGTGTGAAAAACGACACCGATTTCAAATGAATTGTTCATTAAAATTTTGCGTCGGGGTGCTGCCCCTAACAACCTGTAAGGGGGCGCTTCCCCCTTGACCCTCGCACTGTCTATTGACCGGGCAGCGGAACCCCCGGCTAACTCTGCGTAGTGTGAACAATTGCTGATATTTAATTTGATTTATTTAATTAACAAAATTTAAATTAATAATAATAATAAAGTGTTTTATTATGTTGTCTTGTGGTGATCAATTATATCCTTAGCTTCCTTTATTTTGTTTTTGGGATTTTAAAATACGGCCTGCGTGTCGTGCCTCTCTCTTAATCTCTTGATGTAACTTCTTTTCTCATCTCACTCCCTCGTATGTAAAACGAGTTTTCTTTTATGTAATGTAATGTTATGAAGAAAGAGAAGAATACATTATCAAAGGAGGAAAACCTTGGAGATCTTTCTTGGAGAAGTTTAGATCGTTATTAGGTTAGCTTAGGTTCTCTCATTGGCTTGGGAGAACAATTGCGCCAGGGGCCATAACTGTATCTTTTTATATGTATGTTAATGCATGTGAGAGATGATTTGCATGTTAAGCCGGTGAGATCAAACTAATAACAAATTCCTTCAAAAAGGATATTAAGTTTATGCTTTCAAAGTTTTAGCACTCATCAAGACTAGTATCGAACAATGTAGGTTTCGCCTAACGTGAGGTGCATGTTATATATTAGTAAGGTGCGATGGGATAAATGTAATACCCAATTGCTAAATCACTGGGTCAAACTTAACTAAACAAATTATAATAAGATTATATTGTTATGATCGATTTTAAATTGAGAGTCGCCACCCTTAATTTTTATCCTAAGGTAAGGAATATAAAGGATAACCCTAATTTGGTCAGAGATTCTAAGTTGTTAGACTCGTTTTTAGACGAAGGGAAGGTGTTAGGCACCCCTCATCTACCTTGTTCACAAGGATACTAGGTTTTAAAATTACAGCTTAGGGAATAGGGTTTTAATTTTTATTAGGGGAACTCGCCAATATTTTAAATCGTATGCCTATGTATCCTCTTATGAGGAATCAGAGTCCCAATTCGTAGTTCGTAGTTGGTTGGTGTTTTTTATTGATTACGAAGATATTTTGAATTCTCCTTGAACCAAGTCTGAGTGTGTGAATAGCAGAATTGTTAAACGAAGTTCGCAGTCGATTAAAAGTATTTTCGTAATCCTTTTTGAAAATAATCTTGGATTTAATTAAGTTAGTAAAAATCGTTAGTAATTTGATGTTGGTGAAGTTTTTTTTAAATATATTAATACATAAAAATCTTTTTAATGCATGACAAAAATGATTTTAATACAATAAAAAAATGTTTGGATGGATTAGAAAAATAAATATTTGATTTTTAATAATAATAATAAATATTTTAGAATTTATAAATATATTAATTATAATATAAAAAATAAATAAAGTATATGTAAAAAAATTAATTAATAAAACGCACGGGGGTGTATTTTGTTTGGGCTAAGTAAATAAGGGGGTGTGGAAAGCAGAGCCCTGAATTCAGATATTGAATTCAGGCTCAAACGCAAGATGGGGATGAATAATTGTATAGGGCAGTAAAAGTGGGGGGGTTTGGTTTAGCAAGGGCCCAAGTTCAGATATTGAACCGGGCCCAGTAGCGCTAGGGGGTGAGAATTACGTTGGCATAGCAAAACAAAAAAATAGGGGGCATGAGTATCATGGGCTTAGGCCCAAAATAATGTGGGATCCATTAGGCAAGGTGTGGGAGAGGTCATGGGATTATGATGGACGCACACTTTTGGATCATTTGATATTGATCTAAGGGTTGTGATGGGAAGCGCAAGGTGAGGTTCATGAAGATGACAACACAGAATCAGAGAGGGTTTATAAAAGTACATCTCCGGGCATCAGGCCCATTTTTCCCTTTTCTTTCTCTCTTTGTGCCAAACAAAACATAACTCTTTTGTTATTTCTAGAGAGAGAGGCTATACCTTCTCTCTAGAATTTTGTCGTGCCAGAAATCGCCCAGCCGGTGGTCATCACCATAAGTCACCACAAACCACCCTTCCTACCCAGTTTTCTGGTTGACATTCAATCGGAAACTTCAAACATTCATACACTACCACCGTGGATCTTCATCTGGGTTCTATGAACCCTAAGAACTCTAAGGGTTCATGATGAACCCTAACCATCCAAAACCTGAAACACACAACAATGATGAACCATCACCTTAACTAGAAGAACCCTAACCCCAAACCTAAGAACCTTAACCCTATCCTAATCCTAGAAACCCCAAAAACCCCAAATTAAACCCATAATCATACAGCTAACATCAATTAACATGCAATTAAACCCTAAGAGCTAAGTGTTTCAGGATTACCTCTCCTTGTTGTGATTCTTGATTTCCGGTTTTCTGATTCTCCTCTCTAATTTCTTCCTTTCTTGTTTCGCAAGTAATGGTAACAGATGGTAGTGTAGCGGAGGCGCGACGAAGAACTTTTGGGTTTCAGATATTGAAGCCCTAAACTTTACTTCTCCTTCTTTCTGCTTATCTGTCAATTTGTTCGTCCAAAATTTCCCCCCCTTTCTTCTTAGATTCTTAGGTTTTTATAGCTTAGTTTTTCGACAGATTAGGAATATTTGTTTATGATTGTCGTTATATTTTGAAATTGAATTAGGAATTAGGAAGATATAGATTTGTTTAGGAATTAGAATATTTTGTTGTAAATTAGGGATTTTAGATTTGTGATTGATTCTGTATTTATGTAATTTTTGGACAATATGTATTGTAATGGAAAGAATTTAATATGATTAGGTTATATTTAATTTATAATTTTCCAGATTTAGTTCAAAAATGTGTGATTTGATTTAGTTTAAAATACATGCTTTTCCTTTTGGATCTACACAGTGGAAGTTTGTGGGCTTGGGTTACTTAGTGATGAAGGTTAGCAAGAACAGGGCGCTTCTGAGAGTTTGGGTTGAAAACCGTAGCTTTG